ATTTTGATGTAGTGGCGTATTAATTGGTTCAGGTCCTATATTTAAAATTAAATTTGCTGTTACTGCATTTAAATAATCTTCTACAGAATATTCAGGGTCTGTTCCTGTAAATACCATTAATGGTTTGTTTGATGTTTTTGATGATCCACCCATAAGGTATGGATTCATTGTCATTTGTAATGATTCTGCTGCATTTGGCATTTGTGAAAATTTGAAAGTTGATTTTTGTTATTTCGTGTTGTTGAAGGTAATATGGGAGTGGTATTTCATTTTGTATTTGTGTTGGTTGATACGAGTGTGTAATCATTGGGTTTTGTGGCTGAATTGGTTGAAAAGATTGTGTATTAATTGGGTTTTGCATTTGCATTGGTTGTTGATTTTGTGTATCTGTTGGGTGTGGAGAAAAAATTCTATGATATGTATACGGTTTTTGTACTCCTTGTCTACGATATTCTTGAGTGTATGGTGCAAATATATCTGGTTGTAAATAATCATCATCAGAGGATAGGTAATCCGTTTGATGAGGTGCTTGTTTTTAATTTTTATTCTGTTGAAAGAATGGGTAATTTTCACTACGATCCTGTGGAGGATGTGAATTAGTTTGAAAATTTACTGAATTGGTTCTTGCCATTGGGTTATCCCAATATCGAGATCTTATCTGATTATTATTATTTTTTCGGGGGGGATAGTTTGTTTTTGATGAATGTGTGTAATTATAATTGTGTTCCGCAAAATTGTTTCTTGTGAACGTTCTGCGTGTTTTTGACGGTATTGTCATGGGTCTATATGTTTGATAATCCATTTGTGAATATTTTGGAGCAACCGAAGGTTTAACGGTTGATTGCAAGGTTACCTGTGCTAGTGAAGTGTTTGTATTTCTTGGTGTTGTTAAATTTGGACGTATTGGTGAAATACTTTGTTGTGTAGTTGTTGTTGTTTGGACAATTTCTTCATTTATGAAGTGTGATGGTGTCTGAATATCTTGTTGAGTGAGGTTCCTAGTTCCATTAAGGTTTTAATTGTGTATGACGGTCGAATTTAAACTGTTATTTCGCGTATCGGGTAAAAATGCATTGTAGTTTAATGGTGTTGCGTCAATGGATAATGGTATTACTCTTACATAATCTCTTATATAAGATATTGTACTTATTGCTTGACTTGCAATTGATTGTGGGATATTTATAAATGCATAATGAGACCATTCGGGGTCCCAAACGTAGTCTGACTGTTCTGTGATGGCGGTTTCATCGTTTGAATTTTGAGGTCTAAAATTTTTTCTTGCTTGTGAAATTAAATCTATATTATGTGTGAAATAATCTATTATAAACCATTGCCAAAATTTTTTGTAAGTCATGTTTTGTATGTTGTGAAACATCGTCTTTAGTGAAATTTTCCTTAATTATATGTAGAAAAGTTGAAAATAGTGTGATTTCATGTCGTACCTTTATATGTTTAGATGTCTCTGTCGGTGAGACACTTGGGATTGGAATTTCCTTTTCTAATATTGAGATATAACTATATATTATAGCAAAAACTTCATAAGTGAATATGGAGTTTGCTCTTTGTGAGTTATGATATTGTACGCTTTTTATGTATTCTGAGAATACTTTTGAAAATTCTAAATCAAGATCGTCTGTTTGAATTACATATTTGCGGTGATTCGGGTTTGGTGAGCTGAATTCTATGGTGTAGATTCCGTATTGTTGTGTCAAATTACATATATTTTTCAGATAGTGATCAATAATTTGTCTTTTGATCTTTACATCTGGAAACTCTGCTTTACATGGGCTGATTCCGGGTTCAAATAAATTTAGTAGTAAATTCTTGCAAATTCTATGCTGTCCTCTACCATTGGGTGCATCTACGAGGAAGGGGTAGATATCGTCATCATCTGGACTATCTTCACTTGGAGTGTGTGTTTGGCTCATTTTTTCGTTTAATGACTGTTAATAGGTAATTATCGATATGTCTAATTGGTTGATTCCAATTATATAAATGTACTGGTTTGTGTTTATATTGCTTTTTTATTTTTATTTTTCCTCTTTTTGATGAATTTGAAGTTGTTTCTGAGTCGGAAAAATATAATTGATCGTGAATGGGGCAATTTTTATCTATAGATTCTTTTAATTTATAAAGTTCGTCTAAATTGCTGGCTTCTGATTCTGAAAATGCGTTTCTATTTTGGAAAATCTTTTTCGTGTTATTTGTCTTTGCTTGTTTATGATTTTTCTTTTTAGTGTTTGTCGTTTTGTTCTAATATATCCAACTGTTTGTGTGTGAGGTGTGATTACAAGGTCGTATTTTTGGTTATCTATTTCACAGTTGTGCAAAACGATAGTTTGTTTGTTTCCTAGATTTTTAAATGACATAAGGTTTAGGATGACGGATGCAAAAAGTTGTTAGATTATTTCTATTTTCTTAAATTGTTAGTCCTTACGATTTTTTGGTTAGCTTAACCTGGGTCTATTTGTTCAGGGTTGGAGAGAAAAGTATATCGATTCCGAAGAATGATTTTTTACTTTCTCGTGGCTAGTATAAGCTAAGGTGTTAACTTACTTAATCTTACTTAGGGGTAGTGATTGTGTTCAAGGGTTGGAGAATAGTAAATCGATCCACAAGGTTCAGGTATAATTAGAACGCGAGTAGTTCGTTAGATACTATTTTAAACTTACTAAGTCTACGATTTATCCTGGGTCTGGTAAGAGGAGGGTTCAAGTGAAGGATGAATAACCGAAGTTCTTCACTGTTTATCCTAATTTGAATGATTAGTTTTGTTCAAAAATTTCTATTAGTCTTGGGTTTTTTGAAAGGGTTGGATAGTGAATCGACGTTTGAGGTCGTTAGACACTAGCTAAGTGGGTGGGGGAGAACAAAATGTTCTTTTTGATCCAAGGATAGGCCTTGATGATCAAGTTTTGTAATTTTAATTAAATAGAAAATTAATTAAGATCCAAGGATAAGCCTTGATGATCTGATTTTAAGATTAAATGAATTTAAGTTTAAAATGGTTTAATTTTATTTAAGAAAAGATTTAGTGTTTTTATGATGTTAGTGAGCTTATGATTGCTGTTATGTTTTAGGTGATGAAGCTGGGACAACTGATGATTTTATGATTACTAACAGTTTTTTGTCATGCTACTAATTTTTGTTTTGATTTTCAATAAATATTTTCCAAACATGTTTTATAGAATACTGCAGAATTTTAGGAAAACGATCTGAGATCTTTTTATCAATCGTTATTGTATATTAATATCTTGTTTAGCGCCTGAAATGATTATGAAGATTGACTTCATGATTTTATGTTTGCAAATGAAAATCTAAATTCATTGCTAATAAAATTCTAAATATAAAAGTTTGTGTTGGCTTTTGCCGTACTATCATATAACTATTTGGTAAATTTCTACTTTGTCGTATGTCGTCTCTGGTTCGAGGTCTTCTTCCAATTCCGGGTAGTTCTCTTATCGTTCGGAATATTGGCTTTGATCTATTGAGTCGTAGAGACATTTCGATTAAATTATCGTCGTGTAACATTTTAAAAATGTTTTGTCTAAATTCTAATCTATTTTTGGTTAATTCTAAGCTATTAAGGTCTTGTTCGAGACTTATGGTCGCACCAGATGAGTTAGGACCGATGTGGTTAACTCATAGAGTAATTTCGGATAGGGTACACCGTCTGCTCGTCACGCTATCTTATTTTCGGCCGGATAGATTCGTGCAACTTCTTAGTCTAATACCGATCCTAATCTTACTCTTATACTATCTAGTCTCAGGTTGTTTAACTAGTCTCTGCTAGGCTCAATAGATCTAGGGTATACTGGTTTATTGCGGCTGCTGAAGTTCTCTCGGAGAGGCAACTAAGTTCTAAGTTAAATTCAAATCTCTCTGGTGCTGAAATTACAAGTAATTTCAGCACTTACAAATAAGTGGGTTGTTAGTTAGATGGATCATGATTGGTTAATATTAAATACTTTACAGTGGTAAAATATCTAATTTATCCAATCATAAAATGTAGTTTAAATCAGGTTCCAATCAGCAGACTGTGTGAGTGAAAACATCTTTATGAATCAAAATTACTAGCCCTTTAAGTTCCTATTATTCTGGACCTCCATTTTGTTTCTTAAATACTCTGCAGAAAACACAGAAAGGACTATTTATGTTTTCTTAATGCTGCAACAGGGCTCTATCGAACTTAATGGAGTGAAATGACTCATCGTGCAGCGAACTGATGTTCAACTGCATTCTGAGGTTTAAGAGTTGAGGTCAAAAATTTAAGTATCCGGATTACGACCTTACTACTCTTTTTTATAATTGCCTTTAATGTTTGTAAAGTAGGTTTTCTGTTATCTTAGAAGTTAAAATTTTCAATGACTTGAATTGAAAAACATTTCTCTTTTCCTGCATGTTTTTGGCTTTGTACAATAGATATTTTCTACAAATATTTCAACGGTCATTAGTTATATTCAGTAGACGCAATTAGAACGCAACTATATAGGTTTATATAGAACACAATTAGCGAGATAATTTTATTCATAAAGCAATGGTGGAGTTCAGTTTGAAATTTTTTTGTCGGCTTTTTTTTTCTTTTTTCCAAATTGATTTTCCCATGTTTCTGAAAAGTCCTGTTTTGGTTCCGAGCCGCAGTCGGTTTTCTGTGAACACAGTCAAAACCGCCTTTAACTTCGTCGGATCGAAACATCCTCCGCCTCAAATTCAGCTCGGAACATCCTCCGCCAAATGCGTCTTCAGAAAAAAAGTTTGTTTTGATGTACCAAATTCTGATGTTATAAATTATTACTTATTTGACTCCGCGGGCTGGATACATTTGTTGGTTGGGAAGGGTAACCTCTCCCTCATAAACCCACCTGTGTCTTAAAACATTTATCATACAATTTTTCCGCCCGTTACACCTACACTGGTAGTTGGTATTTTATTTTACTAGTTGACATTTTATTTTCATAATTTGTTCCAGGTTGTATAATTATTTTATCAAATCGCTTTCACTTTGTCGATGAAAAAACCATTAAATGCAGCGGGCGAAACTTTTTGATCATTCAATTAGTTCTTATATGAAATTGTTATTATTTACAGGGCGCAGTGAATGCATTCGCAGCTTGTTTTTTCATTATTTTTCCACGTTTCCGTACCGTTTTTCGGAGATTTCTTCCAATTTCTTGATAAGGCTCTTCAATGTACGTTCGTAGACACTTCTGTCAACCAATCGGTTGTTGGTTTCGGCAAAGTCAAACCTGGTAGTGTTTGCAATTTTCTTTGCCACTTTCTCGTTCATGTTGTATCCTTTCTCGCATATAACAGGCACTACATTTTTCTGCAGTTCCAACGCTTTGTCCAGTTCCATCATGCAAACTTCATTTAATTCATAATTAGTGGACAAAACAGGCATGATTACGGTCGCCTCATCTATTTCAAATTCTGGGCTATTTATCCAGTTGGTGTCGAGACGAACATCGAATGTGTTTCCAGTCAGATCTTTTCTGAGATTGTTTGCTATCGATATGTACGATCCAAAATCCCAGCTGATTAGTACTTTCGTTTGTTTTGTATCCCTATTTGACCTTGCTTCGCGTGCTTTCATGCGCTGTCCCCGAGTTGAAGGTCTGCTACTTTTGAATATATTATCAACCAACTTTTCTGAATGTTGTTTAGAGATACTCATGAATAAATAACTGGGATCCGATCCAGGCGACTTGGGAATCTCCACGTCTGATTCTGCCAAACTTTGCAGCCTTCGTTCGCAGTCTTCGATGGCTCTGATTCGTTCTTGAAGTCTATCCGAGTTTTTCCAGGTCAGAGAGTCTTTTTTGGAATCCCAAGATTTTCTTAGTAACTTCTCGATAAAAGCCGTATTTTCCAAGTTGCTAAGAATCTCTTCCGCTGCAGCTTTGTCCACTGGCACTACAGGGGGAATACTTTTGTTTTTGAGAATCTCCAGAGATTCGATTTGAACAAGTAGACGTTTAGGGTACCAATGTAACCCTCGCTTTTCTAAAGGCTCATTAGGCGCACTTTCAGACCATGACTTTTTAGTAGACTTCTGACCTATTGCGTTCCAAAATGGATCACTGTCCGCTTTTTCCGGATCCTCCAATCTCCGACGTAACGACTCGGTTACTTTCGCGCGATGCTGGGTCGGGTCCCGGTAGCCTTCCCAGTCTTGCCATTGTGGCCTTTCAAAGTACCAATTATCTCCAATGTTGTCAATTGCAGTGTTAAAAGGCGAACCTGATCTGTAGTGAAACAGATCACAATTAGAGCTAAAATTTAATTGATTTCCTTTTCGTAAAATGACATCTTTTGTCGTGGGCACCACTAGACTTTCAGCAGGTGGCCACTCGTAGAAAATTGATTTCATCTCTCCTTTGATCTGAAATATATCTATTTCATGAACGCATGGTTTCTCGGCCGCTAATTTGTATACATGGAACGAATCCCTGCATTTGAACACTTCTGGGGGTTTATCGAAATAAGTCTTGGTTATTTCTTGTTTCTTGAGCGCCTCAAAAAACTGGTCGAACCATGTTTCAGCTGGCAAATCTGCGACCAAGTAAGCTTTTCTATTTGCCTCCGGAACAGGGAACACTGACTCGTTTGTGACTGGTCCATTTTTAGTGCTGACTTTGAAAACGCAATCTTGAATGTCGTCAATAGGAACAACGCCCTTTTGAGAAGAAACATTTTCACCGAAGTCGAACCGCAAAACCCTGAAATAATTAAAGGGCAACTCATTTTTTAAATTTAGTCAGAGAATTCGAAGTGAGGAGGTAACTTCATTAATTTTTTTGAAAAGCTTTTAATTTTTTCCCTTTTAAAAGCTAAAGAAAATGGATGGGGATGAGCGATAGCTCATCTCGAAACCTGTTCTAGCCATTTTTACTTCAATTCAGAATCAGATGAACCAGCTCGCTAGTTAGGAACCATTTTAGATGGTTTATTTCGTGCTGATTTAAATTATCCGGACAAAACGAATTAAAATTGAAATTTAAAACGCATTTTTTTTTCAAATTCGGTTGATTTATGTGAAAAAAATGCTTACAATTTTAGCAGAAATAATTACTATGGCGCATTTTGTTAATTGTTTGTTGGGCCAAGTAAGAGGCTCACTTTGATATAATTATGTCATTGATTGACTTAATATTTTCGGTGTAACTTATGATGGACTAAATAAGTCGAAAACTATCCATTTTTGGGGTGAAAATTTTGGCCCCAATTTTGCAAAACCAGTTGCACCACACTAATTTTGCTGAACTTCTGAGCATGGTTTTCGTCAAATTTTTTTTACCTAAATTCAAACCAATTCGAGAAAAATGCGTTTTAACTTTCGAGTTTAAGGCATTTTTTTCGGATAAATTGAATCAGCATTGTATTTCATGAAGGAGGCTGAATATTTTTAATAAATTGTTTGATGCTCAAAACGAAGCAACGACCAATTGATTAAAAGTTAGGAGGAGTCTGAAAAAAATGAGAGGCTTGAATTTTGCGGAAAAGCGGGTTGGTTATTTCAACTTCAATCGGCAGCCAATATTGATTTGGTAAGGTAAAAATTGTAAGGAAAAGTAAAAGATTTCTCATCTTGCAGCCAATATTGATTTATTATTATAGAAATTCTAAAGAAAAGTACAAGACTTCACAGCTGGCAACAAGGCAATTCTCAATATTTCATTTTCTGCGTGTTTTCCAACACTTCAATCTAATTTAAATAAATTTCAAGAGCAAGTTTAGATTAAGTCAGGATTACTCAATTGTGGCTACCCAAATCTCGGCTTTGAATGACTTTTGTGAGTCGGGTAAACGTGTCACCTGTGCTGCACGGTAATAGAAAAAACAAATAAAATCACGACAAACAAGTTTTAATTTGTTTTCACCATCCGAGCAACTAAACAGAAATCTTCAAATTTTTTAAACCTTTTTCTGCAACTACTTAAGATAGAGGCTTCACGTTTTGTCACATGGTCAATGAAGCTATTTGGAACAATCAAAGTGCACCGAATTTTTAAAAATTATGTTTTCGAGGCGCTTAGTCAGACTTTTACTAAGTGTGGTTTTGTTATTGTTCCGTCTTTCGAAGAAAATGACGGAATCTCTGTGTGTTCGGGTGATTTGTCTCTGGACAATTTTTGGCTTTTTAAATAGCAATTTTTACAAGTTTTCTGTATATCATTCGTAAAAAAGCGGTTGCCATGGACTCAATTTGAAAAAATAAATAGGTTTTACCAGTGGTCTTTTTTGCAAAACTAGGGGGGTTTATGGATTGCAAGTTTCGCAAAATTGGAAAAAATAAACCGCGATACATTTTGTCCTAAGCGGGTTTTTTGTGCGTAAGCGGGTTTTTTTTTATCTCAGAAATGGTTTCCGAGTGACTTGCGGCATGCTATTTGGTCTATTTAAAACTTGGCTATGTGCGAAAGTTATCACTATGAAGCTTTTATAGTGTGTGAGTAGATAGTTTTCAAAATAAATATCAAAATGAACAATTTTGTTTTTCTTTTGCCATGTAAACTACCACGTAGACATTATGTTTGAAACATTGGGCTGGAAAAAAATCATTGAGGTTGCCACGTAATTAATACTGAGCTGCTAGAAATTTCATTCAGCTACTCAGCGAAAGGAACATGCGCATCAAAAAGCAAAAAACTTAAATTCTAAGTAGTGAAAAAATATATTTACTTGAAGTAAAAGATGCCTTTTAGCGTATCAATCGCTTGCTAAATTTGATGTTCACACATGCTATACAATTTTTTTTGGGTATAAAGATTTTTCAGTTAGTAGTTTCAAATTCTTAGCTATTAGCAAAAATAGCAAACGTTAGCTGTACGCAAATGTCTGAAAAATATGAAAAAAAAACCTTAATCGGGGGCCTAGTGACTTGCATGGGTGCTACTTAGCATGCGCAACTAAAGTATTTACTCAATTTGATGCGCACGCAAATGAGAGAAAAGAAACTCACTCTAATTGCACTAATAGCCACATGAAAAGCTGCACGCATGCAAGTAGGCCTGTCCCCTTTTTCATAAAATAACAAAACTGTTTCTGAGCTAATTGAATGAATTAGTAAAACATTGCGTTTTATCTCCTCTCATTCGAGACTGTATTATTTGTTGAGGGAAGCTCTTTTTTTACGATTCAAGGCCGTTTCTTAGCGTCTAGAACTTTCAAGCGGTACCACTATTGCAGCCGAAATTGGTCATGCTGTGGTAGACCTGAAGCTAGAGGCTAAGTGAGAGCTCGTCTTCACACACTATCATTGCCATGCCATGGGATCGAATACTAAGTGCCTCATACTATGCCATGTTTTTTCACCCAAATTCAGACCAATTCGAGAAACATGCGTTTGAACTTTCAAGTTCATTGCGTTTTTTTTTTTCGGATAAATTGAATCAGCATTGGACTTCATGAATGAGGCTGAATTTTTTCAATAACTTGTTTGATGCTCAAAACGATCAACTGGTTAAATATTGGGGGCGATCTGAAAAAAATGAGAGGCTGGGATTTTGCGGAGAAGCGGATTAGTTATTTCAATTTCAATCGGCAGTCTATATTGATTTGGTAAGATAAAAATTGTAAAGAAAAGTAAAAGATTTCTCATCTTGCAGCCAATATTGATTTGGTATTATAAAAATTCTAAAGAAAAGTACAAGACTTCACAGCTAGCAACAAAGCAGTCCTCAATATTTCGTTTTCATTGTGTTTTCCAACACTTCAATCTAATTTACATAAATTTCAAGAGCAAGTTTAGATTAAGTCAGGATTACTCAATTGTGGCTACCCAAATCTCGGCTTTGAATGATTTTCTGAGTCAGGTAAAAGTGTCACCTGTGCTGCACGGTAATAGAAAAAACAAATAAAATCACGACAAACAAGTTTTAATTTGTTTTCACCATCCGAGCAGCTAAACAGAAATCTTCAAGTTTTTTAAACCTTTTTCTGCAACTACTTAAGTTAGAGGCTTCACGTTTTGTCACATGGTCAATGAAGCTATTTGGAACAATCAAAGTGCACTGAACTTTAAAAAATTATGTTTTCGAGGCGCTTAGTCAGACTTTTATTAAGTTTGTTTTTGTTATTGTTCCGTTCGGGTGATTTTTCTCTAGACATTTTTTGGCTTTTTAAATAGCAACTTTTACAAGTTTTCTGTATATCATTCCTAAAAAAGCGGTTGCCATGGACTCAATTTGAAAAAATAAACAAGACTGCTCGTATCAGGGCGAAGGGCTGAATGTTCCGACTGCCTTTTCAGGTTTATCGAGCAGTAGTAATATTAAAAAAATTAAATATAATTAAAAAAAATGAAAAAGTTTTTTTCTTAAAAATGGAATTTTTTTACGAAATCATCCCCCCCACACCATATGAAGTTTAACAATATAGATTTTGCTCATTGTAACAAAACATATATGGCAAAAAGCGTCTTTCACCCAATTTGGAACAATTTAAAAGATGGATTAAATCTCCGCTTAGGCGTTAAAAGCGCGAAATATATCGCGCGTTAATTGTCTCAATTTGAACAAAATGGCAATCTTTAAACCCCTCATAATTTTGAGAAAAATGATCACCGGTGAAATATTTTTTCAAATTCAAGCTCAAGACAACAATACCTTTTGAATGATATAAAAAAATTCTGTCCAAAATGGCTAGTTCAAAAGTCGAAATTTGTCTGAAGAAAAAAAAACCCACCCCGAGCGCAAATATTCCGTCACTTTCGTATCGAAAGTCGGAACAATAAATTTTACCAGTAGTCTTTTTTTGCAAAATTAGGGGGGTTTATGGATTGCAAGTTTTGCAAAATTGAAATATAAAAAAACCGCGATATATTTCGTCCTATCACCGCGTAAGCGGTTTTTTTTAAATCTCAGAAATGGTTTCCGAGTGACTTGCGGCATGCTTTTCGATCTATTTATAACTTGCCTATATGCGAAAGTTATCACTATGAAGTTTTTATAGTGTGAGAGTAGATAGTTTTCAAATTAAATATCAAATTGAACAATTTCTTTTTTTGCCATGTAAACTGCCACGTAGACCTTATCTTTGAAACATTGGGCTAAAAAAAATTCATTGAGATTGGCACGTAATTATTACTGAGCTGCTCAAAATTTCATTCAGCTACTCAGCGAAATGAACATGCTCAACAAAAAGCAAAAAACCTAAATTTTGAATAGTGAAAATTTATATTTAATTGAAAGTAAAAGATGCCGCTGAGCGTATCAATGGCTTACCAAATTCGATGTTCACATTAGTGATATACATATTTTCCTTGAGTATAAGGATTTTTTAGTATAAAGTTTCAAAAACATAGCTATTAGCAAAATTAGCAAAAGTCTGAAAGCAAACCTTAGCTGTTAGCAAAAGTCTGAAAAATATGAAAAAATACCTTTATCGGGGGCCTAGTGACTTGCATGGAGGCTACTTAGCTTGTGCAGTTAAAGTACTTAATCAATTTGATGCGCACGCAAATGAGAGAAAAGAAAGTCAATTCTAATTGCACTAATAGCCTCATGCTAAGCCACATTCAAAGTTTCTCCCAACCCAATCGCTTGAACAAAATCAAATGCCTTGCAAATGTGAACGCAGCACCCGGATCAACAAGTTTAGATTAATTCTTTTTTGAATGATTTCTCTGATTTGGATTAACTCACCATTTACATGAGCGTTATTGGAGAAACTGGAAAAGTTGCTCACATTTATCAATTCAATCTGCTTCTATACAATAATTGAAATTTTGCGTAGAAGAGATGTCATCGTTACAAAAATATCTTATTCCAGAGACCCCATGTTTTTATTACAGTCAAAACTGATCAAAAAACTGCCTTGATTTAGTTTATATCATTTAGTCTTACCTTTTTTTTAAATTTAGTTTTACATTTATGATAATCACAAAAAATCTAACAACTTCAACAAGGTTCGGTGAAGTCCTATGGATTCGAATGATGTCCCATAAAGTCAAATATAGTCGTCGAACAAAGTCGAACGATGTCCAGTAAAGTCGAGAGCAAAATAGAAAAAAAAACGAACGATATCCGTCAAAGTTGAACAAAGTCAAGCCAAGTCGAACGCGGTTTTTGTTCGAGCTAAAAGGTCAAAAACGGCCATCGCGGGAGTAAAAAAAATTCGGGTATCAATAATTCGTTTTGGTTGAATATTGCTTGATTTGCACATTTTTAACAATTTATTTTTGGTGATTTATATCAATTTAGAAAATAAATTAGGATGAACATTACAATTTTTTTGCGTCCAATTTTTTTGTTGATGTCTATGCATTTAAATGTTCTAACAAGATATTCAATTGTAAACTCTTACCTTCCATTCGGCGGATTTAGAGAAACAGCGCACACATTTTTTGTAGCAAACACCACAAAGTTATCAGTAGCTTGTATTTCGGAAAATACAATCGAGTTATCTTTAGAGACTTCCCGAGCTCTTCCATTTTCCCGCTCACAGAGTTTCTGAAAGCTTGTTTTCAGATACCCGGTTTTCGCCTTTTCTGCCTTCACGGTGAAAGTGGTTTTGATTTTTGCGAGGTTGATGACTCCGTAGACCTCAGCGTTGTCGGGTTGTTTCCTCAGCGCATCTAGAAACTCCTTGATTTCTTTGATCTGGGTTGCATCAACCGTTTTTGTCGCTGCTTTCAACAATACATAAATTACGTCATCAGATAGCTCATTGATAATTAATATATGTTTGAAAAACAACTTTTAGACAATCATTTATTATTTGAAAAAATTCTCGCAAGAAATAATGGTGAAATTTCAAAAATAAATCAACCTGCTTGAACGCCCGACATGCATTTCAAATTGATTGCACCCGGCGCCTGATTTTGTAATCTTTGTTATGCTTTTGAATTGAGGCAGCCTTGCTTATTTTTTACCTTTATTGGTTTGACCCTGAGGCGACGAGACATCAACTGACGGTGTTATAGAGTTGGTAGACGGAACACAGCCCATTTTGCTCCAAATAACAGCACACTCAATAATATATGATTTCAAAAAAGTAATTTTTTGATGCAGACAGCTGAAAACTAGAGCGCTTTATGCGAAGAATTTGTCAAGTAGTTGTTTTATTTTCTGAATAAAGCATGTTGTCGCTGCCAGATCGGTCTATCGGTAATGCTTTTGTTTAAGCTTCAACCAAGTTTCAGTCCATAAAAGTAAGAGTTCGCTCAAAGCTAAAATATCCGAATTTTTTTTATTAAGCATATATGAATTACCTGGTAATTTTACGAAATGCACTCGAAAAGTCATACAGTATGACATAAGCACGTCAAAAGTTTGTTTTTATATAAAAAAGAATAAACATCGTTCTTAATGTTTTTTCACTCGCAAGCGCGTCAACAAAAGTGTTTATGTTGATTTTGTAAGCGAAACTCGGAAGAAAATGTAAGAAATTATGTGAATTCTGTTTTTTAATTAACCTCCTACGCGCAACGTAGAATTCTAAGTTAATTTGCATCTAGTTCCTTATTATGAAGACTTGCCTTTTAGCATAACTTGTAAAGCTAGATGTAAGATGATCCGAAAGAGGAAGATTCAAAAAAAAGCAGAATAAGCCGCCTAAATAGCTGTTTTGGGTACTTTAAAAAAGTTTGCGCGCATTCCCCTATTTTTTTTCTTTATGATTTTTTTCTTTATTATATAAGCCATGATGGGTGTAAAAAGGGTGTACTGAGCGTCTCGTGTTGCTTGAAATTAAATTAAATTGCTGGTCTCAAGTCAATTTGAAACGCATTAATCCGCCGCTTACAGGTTTTATAAGATTGCTATATATCGCGCGTTGTTATCGCAAATTGATCAAATTAGTAATTTTCAAAACCCCGTTATTTTATGAAAAAGGTTCAGAGGAAAAAAGAAAAAATTTTTTTTTATGTAGTACGACACAACGAATTTTATGCCAAAACAAGTGAAAAGTTTTTTGAAAATTCGACGACACCATTTTTGCAAAATGTATGAAATTTGTATGACTTGTATTTTTTCATAGACTTAGTTTATGGAATTATATGATTAGCATTTTGGTCTATGGAGGTCAAACCTATTATAAGTTCGTCCACATTCGGAAAAACAGAAAGCGTACAGCTGTTTTGCAATGTCACGTGATAATAATAACTAGATACAGTTATTTTTCATCAAAAATATAAAGGATGCAAAAACATCTTTCAAATGATTTTAAATGTTGTGTTTTTTTTGTATTTCGTTTTGATGTTAGAACAAAAAAAGACTGGGATCTCGTAAGAGCCTAAGCTTGAATATTCGACTGCTCCTTAAAAAGTTTTGAGAAAAATTTTTTTTTGCGATTTTCGCGATAAATTATTATTCAACTTATAAATGCAGAAAACAAAACATTAATCGCATTGATTGGTTTGGTTAGCAAATGCAATCACAGTATTAATCAGCAAATTTCTAACACAAACGAACTATGAGCTTTCAAATTGGCTTTTTGTGAAGGTTTTTTTTCTGTTTTTTTTACTGTTTGGGGAATCTCTGCAGTTTGTTTGAAATAGAATTGAAAGTTTACCAAACAATCAACATTTTGGCTAGTTCGGCTTCTGTATAAAGTTATAAATCGACATTAAATTGTGAACGAAGTTTTTCGAAATGATGCTGAAGTTTGATTGGCAAATTCTGGCCAATCAGATTGAAGCGAATTAGTTTCAGATCAAACTGTTGAAATATCATTGTTTTTGAGCCGAATAAGTTAAAAAAAAACTATAAATGTTCCGTCTTTTCCTTTGGGTTGAAAGGGTTAAAAAGCGTTGAATTAGTTATACCGCCATTCAAGAAATTGAATGCTAAAACGAATTTACTCTCAAATTGTCTGCCAAAAACTTTTTCATCACTAAGTTCCAACAAGACTGCTTGTATCAGGGTGAAGCCCTGAATGTTCCGAATGCCTTTTAAGGTTTATGGAGCGGTAATAACATGAAAAAATTAAATTTAATAAAAAAGTTAAGGAAATTAAAAAAAAACATCACCCCACACGTCATATTAAATACAAAGTGATAGATTTTGCTGCTATTAACAAATCAATTATGGCGTATAAGCTTCCTTAAACCAATTTGGAAGGATTTCTCAGACGAATTAAATCTCGTTTACGAGTTAATAGCGCGAAATATATCGCGCATTCATTGTCCCAAATTGGCCAAAATGGCAATCTTTAAACCCCCGTAACTTTACGAAAAATCATCACAGGTGATATATCTTTTCAAATTTAAGCTCAGGACAACAATACTTTTTGAATGATAAAAAAAAATTCTGTCTTAAATGGCTAGTTAAAAAGTCGAAATTTGTCTGAAGAAAAAAACCATCCCGAGCACAAATTTTCCGTTACTTTCGTTACGAAAGTCGGAACAGTAATTCAATCATAACATTTTTCACTTCATCACTTCAGCTCAATCACTTCATTTCAAATGTATGAATTTTAAAATTGTCGGTCAAATACAATTATTCAACCACTACATTTGGTCTGAAAAAAACATCTGCCATGAATGTTGCGCTATTTTCTTCAAAACACGGATCAACAACTTCAGCTCAAAGATGGTGTTTGGGTCAAAATGCACAATACAGCTGTACTTTTGGGCCCAATGACTTAACTAATTCCTCTGCAACACTAATACTAATTCATTGAGTTTTCCGAAAAAGCTATAAGAGATCAGGAGAGGAACCACCAAAGGCAAATTGAGTTTCTCGTCAACAAACTGTTTAGTCAAATAGCAGTTCCCACTTTTGCAGCCATCATTTTGGCCTACAAAATAAACAATTCTCAAACCGCAAAATTTGCGTTACAGTTGCTTGAATCCTATCTCGCGCAGTTTGCGCTGCAAGTGGCTTTCAACCAGAAATTTGAAGTAATTGATCTTAATATATTTTGGGGGCTATTCTCATGCGAGAAAGACCGAATGGCCGAAAAACTCGTGGGCGAAAGACCGAAAATAAACTTAGCTGAAAGTCAAATTTTCAAAATACAGTGCTGATTTAAATTAACCGGACAAAACGCGTTAAACTTGAAATTTAAAACGGATTTTTCTCAAATTGGGTTGAGTATAGGTGAAAATCTATGAAGATAAAATTTGCTTAAAATTTTAGCAGAATTAAAATGGTGTAATTTATTTTGCGAAACTCGGGCCCGAAATTTTACCCCAAAAATGGGTCATTTTGGCTTTTCTTAGTTAATCAAAAATTACGCCAAAAATACTCGGACGATCACAGAGATAATTAAATCAAAGTGAGCCCCCTACGTAGCCCAACAAACATTAAAAAGAGTATTTTCTCCAAAAAAAAATTGCAAATTGTTTAAAAATTGTTTTTAAATAAAAAGTTGGTATTTTATATAGTAAAAACGACCTTTTTTGTCTATCAAACAAAAATAAAATATTTTATACAATTTTTTGGAGGTTATGCCCTTCTTAAAGTTTGTTGGGCTACGTGAGAGGCTCACTTTGATATAATTTTGTCTATGATCGTCAGAGTATTTTTGGCGTAATTTTTGATTAACTAAGAAAAGCCAAAATGACCCATTTTTGGGGTAAAATTCCGGGCCCGAATTTCGCAAAATAAATTACACAATATTATTTCTGCTAAAATTGTAAGCAAATTTTGTCTTCATAATTTTTCACCTAAACTCAATTTAATTTGAGAAAAACGGGTTTTAAATTTCAAGTTTAACGCGTTTTGTTCTGTTAATTTAAATCAGCACTGTAATCAATTGCCATTTATTTAAAATGACTTAAGCCAAGCACTATTTTGCATCTTTCATAACGAAATCTTTGAAACTAAATTTGTTCCAATTCGCCAGCGGTCAGTGACAATTTGAAAACTTTGCATATGTTCGCCGTTTTTATATTCAGCCGAAATTATTATTAAGTCCCTGGACATATTTATTTTTATTTCAGATTTTCAGGTTTTCTTTCCAAATTTTAGACAACTGAAATTTGATTAGCGGATTGGTATTTTCGCGCATTCGATCCTTCGCACACGAGGGATTCCACCGTATATTTTGTCCCCAATTTATTAAAAATTTTTATATGTTCTACTTGCAATCATTTCCCTCTCGGTAGATTATCCGATAATTGCAACTATTGGAATTCTATAAGCTAAATGAATGACAGAAAAATTACTGCCATGTTTTAGCTGACACAAGAAACTAGTTAATTAAAAAAGGAAGTCATTTGAGTAAATCAAATAACCAGGCAGTAAAAAAATGCTTGAGTTTACAAATAAGTTATTTAACATACTTCATGGTCAACATATTCTATTTTTACTGGAAAACTACATGCAAAACGTGAAATTCAGAATATGACCAATGTTAAAAATTACATCATTATTCTGCTACTTGCACAAAGTAAAGTTCAAAAAAAAACACTATTGTTCAAAGATGCATCCTTGTTACCCCAAAAACGTCTAGATTTATGCAGCTTAGTCGTAGTAGTAACAAACGTAAACGTATTAATAGTACAAAGTATTATCAAATTTGAATGTTTCTAGAAGAAAATTTCAAACACGTCGTTGGCACCTTGTATATGGTTGTTTGAAACTACTTTAAGTGTCCGTTTTTTGGTTTATTGGAATGAGTTAACCAACGGAAAATGTTTAGTCCCTGGATTTGTTAACAAATTTAAGAGCTCTAAAGACATTTCGTTTTCTTCCTATTTCAGTTCAACAGTAAAAAGAGGGTTATATATACAATTTACAATTTCAAGTAATAATACAATCCGAGTAATAATACAAGGTTTTATAGTTTCTGCTACGTAATGTAACAATCTATGAGCATATATTTCAAAAATCTGGAGTAAAAAAATAGGTTCTAGCATTTCTTTAGAAACACAACCATAAACAAACATACCATACTCTATAATCGGTTTAATGGAGCAATTATAGTACTTAAGTCTATGAAGTTGATTTAAATAATGTTTTGAAAATCATAGAAATCCTACCATTTTGGAATTTCTGTTGCACACAGCTGACAAGTGTTATTGAAATTTTCATCGATTATTTATATGTAAACCTTAACGTTTTATCCAATCCACTTTCGTTTTTGTGTATCCATTAAGTACAGATTTGTTTTTTTAGCGATTCACACAATTGACTTTT